CAACACGGAGTTGAACGCGGTGAGCACTTAAAAAGTGTAGTAAAACGTCAGTACAGTATGTAGCTATCACACACCGGGGCTAAGTGAACCCTCGTCGTATTGCGAACAGATACACGAGTACAGGAGTATTCCTTAGAGTAGAAGGTAGTAGTTGTCTGCCAAGCTACGTATATCCAAACTTCCTTCTAAGTCGCGTCGCGACCAAACATACTCAAACACGCGCCACATGGGCGCTTCCCCTTACAACTACGTTCGAGCAAGCATTCAAGAGTCGTATCCAACGCAAGGATGTCTTCCTTACAACCCTATCCGAACACACAAGTGACAAGTGCTGGCCCGTGAGCCTGAGCCTGATCCTCCCGTACGCTTGGTCCACACGTATGCGAATGTGCAGGGCTGTGGGAGCTATATGCCGATCCTGCCACGATCTCGTAGTCTATCACCGACACGTCGAAGACTAGGCTTGATTCTGCACCTCTCAATATGGGTACACAGGAAAACTGACATTATATCGGCTCAGCCGAAGTCTATAGAACCCGCGGTTTTGTATATTACTCTGGCAGCGTAAATATCCTGTCCGAACATTGACACGGTTCTGTTCAGCTTGCATGATAGGTGAGTAAGCTCCATACATGTACAAGTACGTGTCTGATCAAGCGCGATAGCCATACCGATGAAACTCGCTGCTGGCTGCATCATAGAGAAGGAATAAGCACATGCATGGGTTCGCCAACACAGACTTGTACCGGAGTCAGAAGGCGTACCTGCTCGTAGAGCTTCACGATGTCGCGGAATCACTGGGCCTCAAAAGCGCAGTGTACGTTTTCGGCCTCCCGCACGAGTTCAGAGACTATGGCAAGCCCAGCTATCTCGTGTCGGTGCAGTGGCGGAAGGTGACGGCGCCGGAGGGGAATCCGGAATATGGAGATGTGAGCGTCTTTGAGACCTCCATTATCTGCAAGTCCTGGATCCCGATGGGTATCATCCCGTATAAATAAGGGAAGTCCCCAAACCATCGGAGAGGGTGGCAGGAGCTTCCGACAAAAACACTCAGACCGATGAGTTTACCCTAAGCTCGTACCCCTCCCATTGCGGTTCTCCCCGCTTCCACACCGTCCCGCGCGCGTACGAGCGGGGGGCTGGTGGTGGGGCGCGCACGAGCGGCGTCGTCGTGCGCGACTTCGGCGCCGCGCCCCGGGCGCGAGCGCACTCTCGTCGTCGTATCCCCCTGCGCACATGACGGGTGCCAGTGGACATCAGGCAGCCGTCGGCTCGCCGCCGTCTGCGCACCACCACCGCCACCAGCAAGCTGGGCGCGTGCACACCGAGCAAGACCGCACGGGCGGGGCTGCCGCCCCCAGGGAGCACGGGCAGAGGAGCCCCTCCGAGCCGTGGAGCCTCGTCGACGCGCCAAGCAGAGCAAGTAGTGTGAGCTCCGCGAGCACGTATTACGTTCTCGCGAGCCCGCGGCAGCGCGTGCAGCTCATCGAGAGTACTTTGCTCTGCTTGTGGGCGGGGCATGGTGCTGATCTGCGTGTGGGTGGGTAGCATGTGCCGTATGACGATAAGTCGGCGACGGCGGGAAGCCCGCCGTCGTCGAGGCGGTTTTTCCAGCGGAGCGCGTCTTCGGCGAATGCGGGCCATTCGGGCGCGGCTCCGGCTCCGCCGCCGACGACTCAGGCGGACGCTGGCCATGTGAGGAAGCCGTTCTACCAGCGGTTGTTCAACATGAATTCGGGAGGCAGGGAGAGGAGGGGCGATGGGGTGTCGGGTGGGGTCGATGAAAAAGAAAAGAAGAAGACGACTGCGGATGGAGAGCAGGAGGGGCAGGAACGAGAGGCGGAGAAGAGGAGGGGAAGGAGGCTGTTACGAAGGAATAATACGGCGAGGGTGTGAGCGCGGGCACCATCGACTCTTTGCTCTGGTCGTGAATTTTGCCTTCAAAATTGAACTCGCATGAGAAGTTTACGAGCAGGTCTTGGAGTCGAGAGAACGGTACGTCATTTGGAAGTGCGATATCCGTGTGTCCCACTCTACTGCAGTTCATACTCACTTGTTGCAGTATATCGGATGACAGCATTGCGCATAGCTGCACAAACCAGGCGCCACGCAGCTTTACACGTCCACTCCAAATGTGCGAGAGTTTGCAACTTTGCATCTGCGTGTTACAGATGGACTACATACTTATCAGCGTCTATGTCACCAGGTATTCCCGGGCGTGTACATGTCAGTAAGTCCAGGATTCGCTGCGAGCGCTCGCAGAGAGGCACGGTATCTCGACTCTATATGGCCGCTTCCTTTTTCCCTGGCTTCACGTCCAGTCTCCAATGCTAGCCTTTTCAAGTGCCGCCTTCCAACTTTCCAGCTTGCCGTATGCACGCGCTGCCCTGTGGGGAATTCTAAGCGCCCGAGTCCGGTCCCTCGTTCTTTGCGGACTAAATGGAGACCGCAGAGGTCTCTTGGCTCCTCTGTTCAGTGCGAGATATTCCTTCCAGTGATTTAGTAGTAGGTTCTCCCGTTCAACCGTTTAGGAATATCGATGAGCGCTTGGCTGTGTTCATCTAGGCATTCTTAATATGCTCTGTACAAACGTTTGTGCATGGACCACCCATATCTTCCTCGTGAACCCTACTCCCACTCAGTGGCAATCGTCAATCCCTCGTTATGCACGCGATCGAGCCACCTGCGCCACTC